TTATTGTTGGTTTATATTTGATATAGATAGTTTATATAGATGGTTTGTATAGATGGTTTATATTTGATATTTGATATTGTTGGTTTATATAGATGGTTTATGTTGTTATTGTTGGTTTATATTTGATATAGATAATTTATATAGATGGTTTGTATAGATGGTTTATATTTGATATTTGATATTGTTGGTTTATATAGATGGTTTATGTTGTTATTGTTGGTTTATATTTGATATAGATAGTTTATATAGATGGTTTGTATAGATGGTTTATATTTGTTATTGTTATTTGATGGTTTATATAGATGGTTTATGTTGTTATTGTTGGTTTATATTTGATATAGATAGTTTATATAGATGGTTTGTATAGATGGTTTATATTTGATATTTGATATTGTTGGTTTATATAGATGGTTTATGTTGTTATTGTTGGTTTATATTTGATATAGATAGTTTATATAGATGGTTTGTATAGATGGTTTATATTTGTTATTGTTATTTGATGGTTTATATAGATGGTTTATGTTGTTATTGTTGGTTTATATTTGATATAGATAGTTTATATAGATGGTTTGTATAGATGGTTTATATTTGATATAGATGTTGTTATTGTTGTTGATATTTGTTGTTGTTGTTGTTATTCTGAATTACAGGTATATTATGGCCAGCAACGAGGAAACATCACATGATGGAAAAGAAACACCCAAAGACGTTGAAGGCGAAATTAAAAGAGGCATAACGATAATGAAAAGTATCATCCGTGCGAGAGATAGAGGTGTAAAGTACGATGTCCATTGGAATGAAAGAGATCAGTTGGTTGAGCCTAATGGTGCGCTGCTGACAAGTTATATTGGAGCAGTTGTACGTTCGCAAGTTCCGATTACTTGCGATAACTGGAGAATTCCTGCATTAAAAGCGGCTAAGGATAAAATTTGGACCGAGATTCAAGTATGAGATTTGATCATTTTTAATTATGTTGACAGTTACATCTTTAAATTAATTATATTAACATGTTATATGTATGTGTATTTGTTTGCAGAGATCTTTTAATATTGAGGATTCTAGGAGAAAATATTGTATTCAGTTGGCCGGAAAACGCTTGAGGGGATTTAGAGCGTTTTTAACCAACAAATATCTTAAAGATTCTGATGGCAACTTTGTAGAGTCGGAGCGTCCAGCGAAGTACGCTGATTTGATTTCGGATGCAGAATGGGAGACATTTGTTGCGAAGCGAAGAACCAAAGAATTTGAAGTAAGTACAACTTATCATGTACAATGTATAGTATATATACCTATTCCACAAACAAACTGATATGACTTAAACTTGTTTTTTCAGGTTAAGAGTGGCGTAAATCGGGAACGAGCATCAAACCCTGCGTATCCATATAGAAAGGGGCGTTTGGGATATGCACGCTTAGAACAAAAATTAGTAAGTGCATATATATGCTTTAATATGATCTATTTACAAAAAATAGTAAGTATACATAATAGGATATAATGCTTTATTGTTCGTCTTAATGCGTAGTTGGAAGAGGAGAAAAGTGATGCGACATCTCTTCCGGACCATGTCGTATGGAAGGCTGCCCGGGTGGGAAGAGATGGAGCCGTCCAAGAAGAAGTTCAACAAGTGTTTGAACAATGTGTAAGTACAACATTAGTTTTTGAACAAAGTGTATAAAATATTTAAATATGCTTTTATCTATATTTCAGGAGTCCCTATCCCAGACTATAACTCCTGCTGAAGACGATGATTGCAGGAGTTTATTGAGTCGGGTGTTGAATATTCCTGAGTACTCTGGGCGTGTGAGGGGCAAGTGATTTGGTGTCACTCCATCTAAACTGTATAAGCAGCCAAGGAAAAAAAATCCAACCAATAAAGAAGTGATGGCTACTTTGGAGGAAATGAAAGCTCAAATTCGTGAATTACAGAAGGATAAGGAGAGATACATGTCCGAAAGGCGCGCTCCAGAGGCCGGTAAAGCTACTAGTGACAAAGATAGTATCGGTTGTCCGCAGAAGCTTCCAGAGGTAATTGTATATATTACATTGAAATTAATTTAGCACATTTTTCTTAATTGACACATTAACTGATCATTATTTGTTTAGGGCATTTCACCTTGTCGACTATATTTATCGTCGCCGACTTATCGCATGGTTGGCAAGGGAAAGGTGCATAACACCCTGGGAGACTTACTTCACCATAAACCCCTCCCTGCTAGATTTTTGAAAGTATCTGTTGATATTGCATTAGAGGGGGGGCGTTGTTGCCTATGCGAGACGATGTATCAGACGCAACAGTGGTGGGAGACGCGATAGGAGCTTATGTAGCATGGCCGGCGAATCTCATTTTCATGGATGATGAGGTAGGTTGAACCTTGTAATATTCCAATGTTTTATTACCCATACATGAAAGTTATTTTGACATTTACACTTTCTTATTGACATGATGATCTTAGACTCCCACAAAATCCAAAACAAAAGATGATAAAATTATTGTGCGGGATACCGATTCAGCTGCATCAAAGTTACAGGTACTAGTACTACAGTTTAAGTGATTATTTTATTATAAATTATTTACTGAACTTATATATGACTTTTAGGTTCTTGATCAGCAGTCGCAACATGTCAGCAAGGGAAACATGCCTGAAACTTCCAAGGTGCCCAAAAAAAAGGTCGAGACAAAAAGAGCATTTGTTCCTCAATTTAGGTCGTGCCTTCAAACATATGTAGGGACAACAGACGTGCCTGAGGGCGGCATCCGTCTAATACATATGGAACAAGGTATTTTCGGTTTTGAATATTCCGAAACACTTGCTAAGGAGGATTTCGACCAGGTTTTCAAACATTTAGAATTGGGCGTCGGGGTTATGCATTCCTACATCAGGTACTTCGATCCATTTTAATTAGATAATTGAACATTTTAAAATTCGCTCGTTTAACTGAATAATCTAATGTTGATTATATTTTTTTTAGGCGCTTGTATGACAAGATGTTGGTCCCCGCTGATTTGACTTCAGTATTCGCATTCTTATCTGCTAGCAGTGTCAACTCACGGACAATAGACCAGACACCAGAAGCAGTCAAAGAGTACACAGTCCAGAGATTTATGGGTGCGAATACGGAGAAGTTGTTTATGTTGCCATATAATACTGGCCATGAGTTAGTTTTTATTCTAAATTCATTTATTATAATTGTTCGATTTTTGCCATATTATATAATATTTCCGTCTAAACTGTTGTCTTATTTTATAGTGGTCACTGGTTGTTGGTCGCAATTAATCCGATTAAAGAAATAGTGTATTATATAGATTCATTGGATGGCGATACAAACAAATATGAAAATCTGAAGAACATGGTTGATACGTAAGTGATGATGTATAGTGTTCTGAATAATTATATATGTTTATTTATTATGTGACATTGTTCTAAATATGTGTTTATATTATGTTAGAGTTATACAAATATACAGAGCACAGAGAGATGCAACAATGCCAAAAAGCAGGGCTAGCAACATCAACTGGATCAGAGTGGAGGTATATTTTCCCATGTTTGAATGTTATAGTGGTTCTACTTATAAAACTATTTAAACTATATATCCTGATAAATGTTCGTTCGCTTTTTTCCTAATACAGTGTCCTCGTCAGCGTGGTAGGATTGACTGCGGATATTTTGTACTGCGCTTTATGAAGGAAATCATTCTTTCTGATCAATTAGAGATTCCAATCATGGTATGGATCAATTCATGAGTTATATGATTCATTTTGATTATTAACTAATATTTCATCTGAGTAATTAGTATTAAATCGTGCTTGTTCTGTTATATTATGTAGTATTTTGATGAATTCAGATGCGCTACGTACTCGAAAGTAAAACTGGAAGAAATTAAGGAAGAATGGTGTCAATTTATGATTGAGTTAAGAATTCTATAATGTATATTGGATTTGTAATTATGTGTAAATTGTATATTGTATATTGTATAATGTACAATCTTTAAATTATGTGTAAATTATACTTGAGTTAATTATGTGTAAATTGCAAAGTGTTATTGTATAATGTACAATGTTTAGTTATATTGTGTTGAATTAAAGGCCAAGTGTTGAATTACAATGTTTAAAGGCCAAGTTATGTTTAAAGCCTGAATTATTAGCAGGGAATTTAATTGTTATAAGCAGGTTTGTCTAAAAATATAAAAAAATGTGATTTTTCAAAAAAAAAATTTTTTAAAAACATGAAGTATAGACAGCGCTTTTACAAGAAAGTGCTGCTAAAGGGAGAAAAATAGGCATAAAAAAGCGCTGCTATAGGTTAGGAAAGGAGGGGTCTAAGAAAGCGCTGCTAAAGGGTGGTCTACAAAAGCGCTTTCATAAAGCGCTGCTACAGGGGGGAGGGGGGGGGGGGGGGAGAATAGGCAGCGCTTTGAAAGCGCTGCTAAAGGGGTACAAAAGCGCTGCTAAAAGTGATACCTTTAGCAGCGCTTTTTCCATAAAAAAAAGCGCTGCCTTTACCTTTAACAGCGCCACTTTAGGCAGCGCTTTAAAGCGCTGCTAAAGGTCAAAAAAAGCGCTGCTAAAGGCCATTTTTGGCATAGTGTGATAATAGCAACAAAAAGTTTTATCATACCATACCACCCCACATTTTCATCTAGTACCGTCACATATTCCATAACATTTATATTACTTTTATAAATAAAAAATTAGACAAAAAATCAGATAGAACAAATAAAAAATCTGGTACAAATTAAAATATCCAATAATGTATATAAAAAGTGAAATGAATCTTTATTGATTTTAAAAAAAAAATTTAACATATCAAACTCTACATATTATTAGTTGATCTTACATAAAAATTTAAACATGCTTAAATCAACTTGTAATTCATCTTAGTGCATGAAAGATATTTACCATGTATTATGGTTAACAAAAGTTTGACAAACCAACCACAGATGAATTATTCACAATAACTTATACAGAAACTAACAACAAATTGTTAACTAATTACATCTCTTTAATACCGTGTTTCGAAATTCCATAATGATGAAACTTGAGTGTCAAATATGTCGAACTCACCCCAGTTACTAGAGGCATAATCTGTGAAGGAAGGAGAAGGAGAACGTAATGGCTCATTTGCAATACTCATAACCAAATCATGCATGTCTTCCAATTCTGTCATAACATGCTTATCATTGGAATCTTCTATGATCACTCCATCACCGAATAACTCAGCAGCTTCCATAGCAGCTTTCCGTATCTCCTCTGCATCATTCGACTCCGGCAACCTTAACTTCCATGCAGAGTCAGCAAAATTAAGACAAGCTGATTTCCCCTTGAGAACGAGTGCAGCAACATCGTGTGCACGTGCAGCCATTTCAGGCGTATGATATGTTCCAAGCCAAATCCTTGACTTGCTGCATTTGGTACTGTTAGGAACTCGCATTTCACAAACCCACTTGTTATTGTTCCTCTTTCGTACTCCTCGGTACACCGGGTGTCTTGTCTCCTTGAACACTCTTCTCCCAGTTCGCCTCTTTGGCCTGTCAGATTCACTATTACGGTTTGAGGAGCTTGTTTCCGACGAAGCAGAAGATGTATCAGAGTGGTTGAAGTCGGTAAACGATGATTCAAAAATATTCATCAGAAAAATGAAGTTGCTTATGTGAGTTAAGTGAGGAAGGGAGTGTGTGGCGAGACTTTATTTGTATATAGCTTATTGCTGATGTGGCAAGGAAAAGGGCCACGTATGTCACACGAACACGGGCAGGCTACTATTAAGTAATTGTTCACTTTTTTATGGGATGATAACGACAAAGGTTCATTTGGAAAGTTCAATATCACTCCTTCTTTTCATATTGTTTGACACCTTGACTTGGCTGTGTCCTACTACTACCCATCCTGGTTTAAAACGTGCTTTACTCTTATTTCCTTACCATGCTAGTTTAGCACAACATTTTTACACTTACATGCTACGCACGTTTACAAATACTATTTTGAGAACAATCACATTTATAATTTTAATTCTTTTATATTTCTCTCTCTCTATATATATATATAAAACTAGATATGTAAAAATTTGATTAATATAATTAATAATTTTGTTAATAAATGTTATGACATTAAAAAAAAAAGAGAGTATAGCAGTAAAATAAAATTGATTATTTTAGTGTAAAAAAATTGGTTAATATAATAAAATTGATTATTGAGTGTTCTGATATAAAAATAAAATAAATCCTTACATAATAAAACAACTTTAGTTAATAGTTTGTCAAATATTACTTAATACAATTCAAAATTTGGTTAATGAACCCAAAAGCATTCAAAAAATTAGTATTAAGAGTAAAATAAAGTTGATTAGTGGAGTGTAAAAATTTGTTAATATATTTCATAATTCAATATTTGATAGTGGTTAATGATGAGTTATAAATAAAATAAATGGTTATTAAAATATATTTTTGTGGTTAATACAATAATGAAGTTCATTAATTGTAAAGTTTTATATCTTTGTTACAAAATATATATAATCTAAACATTTTTTTATTTAAAAAAAATATTATTCATCACACACACACGAAATGTCATGAACATTGTCGTCCAAGGCCCACATATTATGACAATTCCGTCCCATTATGCTAAAGTCATTTAGAACACATAAGATGTCCTAAATCAGGGCTGGAGATGATAACGTGTTTGACATGTGGGCGACATAATGTCACTGGACTTTTTCTAAAGGAGATTACCTATTATAATCTTTGTTGAGCAGAATTAGGGCGACTGAATCCGAGAAAAAAGCTTGAAGGTATTGACCATTCATTAGATCTAAAATTATATATATATATATATATATATATATATATATATATATATATATATATATATATATATATATATATATATATATATATATATATATATATATATATATATATATATATATATATATATATATATATATATATATATATATATATATATATATATATATATATATATATATATATATATATATATATATATATATATATATGCTAATTAGGTCAAATCATTCAAATGACTAATTAAATACCTCATGCTTTCCAAATTACAGGAAGGATCACCATTATTACACTCACAATAAATATAATTGGCAACCACTATATGACCCGATAAAAAATTATTGGGCCATAATTTTTCAACCAATATTTTACTCAGCCTATTGCCGTTTTAGAATGGTGATCATATAAGAATTTTGATGGCCAAAAAGCCCTAACAGAGATGCAAGCCGTTATAGACAAATTTATCGCTATAACATAACTATTCAAGCAACCATTCAAACAATCCAACAACAATAATAACAAGGCAACATGTACTAAAAAGGGGTACAGATTAAAGACCCTTACCCCATCTATGCTGAAATCTGGTATGTTATAGTTACATATAATTTCAAACTGCCCCCTCTAGTAGGGGTGTTCAAATCCAAATGATCAAAGTAAAAATCGCAAAGGGATTCAAAAAATTAAAAAATTGAAGATTATCAAATGTGTTTGGATGTTAATTTATAAAAATATCCTAAATCTGATCGAATTTGAAATTGAATTTTCAAAATTGATCCAAACTGAATCAAGTCGCATGCATATATGTTAATACTTATTTAATTATCATATGATATATTGTGTTGAATTATTATTCATTGATACTTATTTGTTTAATATTATTTATTATATTAGTTTAATCTACTTACTTTTATTATTTTATTTGTCTTAGCCATAATTGATCATTGTTATTTTGTAATATAAAATTTTAATAATATTATATATTATACCAACCTTATTATTCTATAGCGTTGTTATAATATTGAGAAAAAATTATAATTAATAATTTGGATATCAAAGAATTGATCCAAATTAAACCGTTTGAAATTGGATTGGATCATATCGAAAATTTTAAATGATCCAATCCACACCACAAACACCCTTAACTCTGGTGATGTTTGATATGAAAAGTTTTTGTCAAGAGCATGCCATCACTTTTAACATGCAAATCACAATCATAGGCACATCATATTCACTTAAATGCAAGCTCCTCTCTAGAACCTTGAAGTGAAATTGCATTGCAATCGCTTTCATTATTTTGATTTTCTGTCAATTATTTGATCTCTGTGTGTATGTAATCTGGTTTATCATGTTTGTATAATTTATTTTTGATTTTCATGTAAATTTATACTTCATTTCTTATATATGTACCATAAGACACCTCTTCATTTAATCTATTAGATTTTGATCCATATAAATGTGTTTTTAGCCTTTGCAATTCGATATAGGTCAAATTATTGAGTGTTATTTGAATCCCAAGTTAAGAGTCTTAAATCAAGATTTTTGAAAGTCTTGATATTTTTTTGAAAGTCTTGATTTAAATTAGACATGTTGTGGCATGAATCATGAACTTGCTTGGAAGTGAAAATTTTCCCTCTGTCAATCTGATTCGAATGAGAGAAGTATGTCATTCGAATCACAGTATTTCCTGACTCAAATAACAAGATTCATGATTTGAATAATAGTCATGCAATTTTATTTAAAATAAAGTGTGATTCGAATCACATGTTGCTTGACTCGAATTACACATTCATACTTGATTCAAATTTGTTGTGAATCTTGTTGTGAATTACGACATAATTCAATATCAATTTGTGAGGCAAAGAACAATAACAACCAAAATAAATGGTCTTCAGCAATACTAATCCTTACACAGATAATATAACAAAATAAGGCAAGAAAAAACCTAAGATTCGTTTACCTGGTTCAATCAAACGATCTACTCCGGGGGAGAGAGTAGCTCTCCAATTCACTATACTTAAAGTTATTACAAGAATTACAGATGAGTTACAAGAAAATAACCTTCACCTTTAGGTTCCCAAGAACAATCCTATTTTCTACCCAAGTGTTTTCATATCTCTCCAACTCTCAATATATGAATCACTCAAACCCAATGTGTAATCTAATATTTTCTTTGTGCATAGCTGAAACCCTGTGCCATACCTTTAAACCCTTGGTCTCCCTTATTGGTGAAAACTCTAAGATTGTCACACACCAAACATATAAGAGATACATATTTATAATAGCAAATACCTAACAAACAAAATCCAAAATCACATGGATCCATGGACCGAATCGAAAAAGCCCGAAAACTCGAAAACACTATTCATCGTACGGACACTACTATTCATCGACCAATATTTTATTTTTTTTATTTTTTTCAACTTTTCGTCCGACTTTCTAAAACTTTCAATTTTCGGGATAAATGCAATCTCCAAAATATGTTTTCTTTCTCTTCATCAACAAAGATTTTAAGGCACATTTACAACAAAATCACTAGCAAAAATTTTTTTTTCACTTAATTACCGTTATTTCACTTCATTCTTTATTGAATCAAATGACAATAATTCATGATTTGACTCAAATCACATTGTTCTTTCTCATCTTTTTGTGCCTTACCACTAGCACCTATTTACAACTTTTTTTTTCTCAAAGTAAAGGTAGTTGTTGACAATGTCAGTCAATGAAACTTATTGATCACAAGTGGTGATCACAATTGAGAGAAACTCTTAGATAAGCCATTGAATCTTTCTGCTTTGTGTACCCTAAAAATTCATCAAAAACCTAATCTTTCTTTTATCAAGAATCTAAAGAGAAACCATGAAAATATTTCTTCATTCACAAATAAACTATCTTCGAATTTCAATCTTGTGAGAATGGTACAATTGTGTTGTGTGAGATCCTTTAGATATTATTGATCATCTTCAACCTTATACCAAGAAATCATTGTTGTAGTTCTTAGCTGTAAAGATTGGGTGTGTGAGGTAAATTGAGATACATTAAGGAATCTAATGTTTTTTTATGAAATTTTGTTATGTGTATCATGATAAAGGGTCATTTCTTATTCACATTGTTGGTTGGTGTTTAGCAAGTAAGACCATAGTTTTCTTCACACTCCAAGGAATACTTTGGTGGATTCGAGTTAAGATTTTCGCAAAACAAAGTTGGTAGCTATCCTCATTCGATGATAGAATAGTCGCTCAGACAAGTCTTCATCATATTCGATTAAAGGAGGCTGAAAAATTGAAAGTTGGAGCAGATCATTAGGTCTATCAAATTTTGTGGATCAAGATCTTTTAAGATCTTGAATTTTAGCAGTTCAGTAATTTGCATTAACAAAAATAATTATTTTTTAGATCCATATTGGCTAAATCATTGGGTTGTTAGTGTCCGGTTTGATAATAATTCGTTGTACCAAAATACTTGTATCTTTAACTTTAATCATAGTGGAAGACAATATCATTTCCAATGGTAAAAACCATTGAATAATGGATTAGGCATAGCGAAGATGAATTTCTAAATCACTATATATCTAGTGTACATTTTTCTCTCGCCGTCTCATTAATTTTCTACATTATATCATGTATGTTAGACATATTTCATCATTAAAATATCATCTAGAAGATATTCATGCCAAGTGATGGATGTCAATTACTCTCTGATAACTTTGTTGGCGTTCTAGTTTAGGACGCTTTTAAATAGTTGAAGTTGAAACCAAAAGACCAATAACCCTTTAAAGGCTACCCAATAGAGTTTCCTAGTGAACATGTACAAGTTTGTGGATACATCT